AATTTATGAAGCATTTTCTCAATGTAATGAGATTAAGTCAAAATTAATATATATATTTTTCTCACTATTTTGATGCCAAGTATCACATCAACCTCTTCTAAGTCCTTCATATCATCTTCTAAGTCCTTCATATCAAAGTTTAATGCAAGCAACTTTTTAGTTTCTTTCACAAATTCTATATTAAAGCCAAAGATAAACATGTCATTACATATAAACGAATTATGACACTTAATTTATTTTCTTACTATACACACATTTATCAGCCCCATTTCTCTTAAATCCATTTGACATCAACACATTGTCAAATTTCTTATGTCATTGTTTAGGTGTTTGTTTTAATCCATAAAGAGACTTAACCAATTTACAAATTTTTTTCTCATGATCTGCCATCCTTCGGGTTGTTCTATATAAATTTTTTCATTTAAGTCACAATTTTAAAAAGCAGTTTTTATATCCTTTTGATGTATGACTAGATGATTAGAAGATGCTATTGCTAAGAGCAATCTCATGATAGCAATTCTTGCTACGAGTGCATATGTGTCAAAATAATCAATGCCTTTTTTTTGTTTAAAAACCTTTAGCAACTAATCTTGCTTTATATTTATTAATAGAACCATTAAAATTCATTTTTCTTTTAAAAGTACATCTACAATGAATGGATTTAGAACTAGGTAGAAGATCTACTAATTTTTAAAATTTATTAGCTGTAATGGAACCATTTCATTATTAATAGCTTTTTTCCCAAAAATTGCAGCTTGAGATGTCAAAGCTTTATTTAGAGATGTAGGATCTTCCTCCACATTTGAGACTATAGGTAATGAATTCAAAATTTTATCTTGATTAGCCTCAACAAGATAAATATGAAAATAAGGTCCAAAGTTGTAAGAAAGATCACCTCTAATTCTCTTGCTTCTCGTTGGTTCTATTATTTCATCATCATTATTTTCTATATGTTTTTCATCAATATATTCATCATTTTCATGATTATTCTCATTTTGCATGCTACTAGATTCATTCAATTTACTTTTGCAAGTGAGATTTTCAAAAAATTCAGCGTCTCTAGATTTCAAAATTATGTTAGAAATTAGATCCAAAAATCTATATGCTTTACTATTTTGAGAAGATAGAAATTAGAAATTAGCCTTTCTTATTTAAGATACATCCCGAAACAAGATTTCTTCTCGTTTTAGGTACGCAATACATATTTTCTAAGTCGAGTACCTTGCCCAAACTCAACTTTAGATCCGCTATACCCCTTGCCAAATATATTTGCTATAGCTTGGGTTCCAAGTTGAACCAAATTACTATCACCCACTAGTTCAAAAATCTTAAACATGTATCGATTATTAGACACATGAATGGTAGCGCTGGTATCAACCCATCATCCATTGTCTTTATCAATCATGTGTACTTTGGTTACCATTGTTATAAATTTTTCTTTAGTGGTCAAGTTCACTTGGTCTTTGGCCTTTTGAGCCCTTTCCAGTATCGACACTCCTTTAAATAATGTCCTGTTTTTTCACATGCATAACAAGTGACTTTCTTTTTATTTTTGTTGGTAATAGACTTTTGGTCTTTATAATTTTCATTATGACATTAGAAATGAAAATCTTCTTGTTATATGGAGCACTTGATTTTTGCTCAACAAGGTTTGCCTTAAAGTGAAAATTAATTGATTCATCTTTCATTTCTTTAAGTCTATTCTCTTCTTCAATTCGAAGAGGTCTTTCAAGTTGGACCAAATCAAGATCAACTTTCTTGTGTTTCATCTTTTTTTTATACTCTCTCTAAGATGGAGGTAACTTGTGAATTATTGAGCCAACTAGGAAATATTCATCCAAAGAAATACCACACTCTTTAAGTTCATTGACTACAAACGGCAACTCATATACTTGAGAGAGAATAGACTTATTTTCAATGAATTTAAAATCTAAAAAGTTAGATATAATAAATCGTTTGTTACCAGACTCTTCCATGAGGTACTTGATCTCAAGTAGTTTCCAAAGCTCTCTCATTGTGCCAATGGAGGCATTCATATCATCGATCGGGTCCTCCAATGCATTTAGGATATGACCCTTGCATATACTATCATCCTCCATCCATCTCTTGTATGATTGAGTTTGCTAGTTAGTGGAGTCATCCAATGGTGGTGGCGGTGCATGCATTGACTTGGTGACTATGTAAGCCACTTTGAGAGTGATAAGCAAAAAGAGAGCATTTTACTGCAATCTCTTGAAATTCAGCCTGTTGAAGTGTTCGAGTAGAGTAAAGTCGTGATTCATGACCTTCAAAGAAGTTATGGCAGTCTCTTTTCTTTCACCCATGAAATATCATCTTGAATTGTTGGAGTTTGGTTCGGTGAAATGGGGGTAGAAAATAATACAATTTTGAAAATAGGGAACTCGAACTTTTCTTGTTTTCTGGCACGTAGGAGCGCTATCTCAAGACGATATTTGTTCCCCTTCGATTAGTATTTGTTGTGCATAAGAAGGGCAATTCGTTCTCGGGATACAAGAAAACAAAAAGATCTTATAACAATATTCCTAAGCTCTATGCACCCGAGCTTGGAACCCACACAATAGACATCAAAGTCTTGTTGTATTAGAGAGAGAAAGAGAGAAAAATGAGTTGAGAGTGGGAGTATTAGCCCACTAGTTTGTTTGCTGGAATTGTAGAGAATAGTATGTTGAGAGAGGCTAAAAATTGTCCTAAGTGTCTAAAATAGTACGGGTAGGAGGGCCCTTGTTATAGAGCATCAAGACAGAAGTTACATGTGGTTACATGCACCCCATCAACTACAAGTTACATTAGTTACATGCGCTTGATGGTTGTTGTTGTTACACGCCTCTATCTCATCAACGACTATATGACCGTTGGATGTCCCACACACATCAACGATTAGATGACCGTTGGATCCCCCTACTAGTCGGGCTCATAAAAAATTTACGAGCCACGAGCCCGACCCACACACGTGCTAGGGCGAGGGGTGCCTCATGCAAGCGAAGTGCAAAGTGCGCTATCAAGCGCCCTTGAGCCCACGTACATGCATGTGTATGTGTACATGTACGTGCGCGTTGCATGATTCGCGTGTTCTGCACATGCGCCTTCTCTCTCTTTTGTCCTTAGAGTATATTACATGGGAATGCATACTCTTAAATACACCTCAAAAACCTCTCTCATCTTTAATGTGGAACTCAAACCCACAACTCTCTCTCTCTATAAAGCATTTTAGAAAAGAACTATAAAACCAAAGTGGTTGTTTTGAAATACTCGCATTTTTTAGACCAAAAATACCACAGTCTGAAGATCATATGAGTGTTACTTTTGTTATTGTGTATTCCACATTGTCTGTCTCTTTATATAAACTATAAGGTTGAGGCCACTAAACAATCAAATCAAGGCACACCTAAAAAATTCAGAAGAAGAAGTTGCTTCGATGCTAAAAAAACCCTCAAATCCGATCATCTCGACTTTGAGATACATGAACATAAAAAAAAAAAAAGGACTTCAAGTCTTGAAAATAGTGCATCTTGCAATGCATTATTTAGTTTTAATATTTTCAAGTGTTCATAGATCTGTTTGATATACACTATGTTTGAAGCTTGATATTTCATTTTAGAGATGAAAATGAATTTTCAAACTATCTCAAAGATTTCCAGTGCTGAAATGACATCTGTTGACACTATCAAAAGGCACGCCTTAGTTTGATTGTTTAAGGCCTCACATTCTGCAAATCACACCCGGTACATAATCCATGTCTTACTAGGACCTTTTTCTCTTATAGAAGGTGTCAACCTTATTCGATATGAGTAAAGTACACCTAAAAATCTCACTAGAGAAGGTTGTTTCTATACTAGGCAACTCTCAAATCGATCATCTCGAATTCAATATTCATAGACATGAAACAAAGGGGATTTTTAGTTTTAAAAATAGTTCAACATGATCTAAACCGTCTATTTTCAAAATTTTCAAGCATTTATAATTTTGCTTGATCATCCCTATTTCTGAAACTTCAAATTTCATGATTAAAGACAACAATAAGATTTTTATATCATCGCTTTGCTGTACCAAAACTGCATTTTCTACATAGTTATGAGGTGCACCTTACTCTAATAGTATAAGGTTGACACCTTATACAAACCTCACCCCTCAAATTTACGATTTCTTTTGAAAAGGTTCATTATAATATGTTGCTAGTATGGGAAACAAGGATCAAGTGCTGTTTTTTCAAGTGGAGGCTTCAAGTGCGTAAAAAGTATGACACAGGTTTCGATGCGCACGAACACCCCATTCACGTGCGGACCATCCCTGCCTCTCTGATCCTCAAAAAGTGGTACGCATATGCGAGGCGCCCCATAAAATCTTCATCCACTTATTTTTCGGGGTATTTTGATATTTATGACAGAATAATTTCTGTACGGACAAAAATAAAATAAAATGATTTTGAAAATAAATATGCACGAAGTCCGTCTTTTTCCTATTTTTTATATGGAAAAAGTTTGTATTGAACGCTATAAACAATCAAATCAAGGCGTATCTCAAAAAGTTTTTCAAAAAGTTCATTGGAAACGGGTGTTTTGATGTTCAAATATCTTCAAATTGATCATCTAACGGTCACAATGCAGGAATATAAAAAAAACAAAATTAAATTTCAAATTTTAAAAATAATGCATCTTGTAATGTATAACATTCAAAATTTTCAAATATCCATACATATGTTTAATTTATACAATTTTTAAAATTTAAATTTTATAATTAAAAATAAAAACATATTTTAAGGCTACCACAAATATTTCTACTATTGAAACCACGTTTGTCGATACTATTTGAAGGTAGGCTCTAATTTGATTGATTGGAGCCTTGGCTCTATACAAACCACACCCTTTTTATTTTATTATTTATATTGCCACTCACTCTTAAACATACCCTTTGGAGTTTTTTTTTATGTTTTTTTGGAGCTTTTTAGATAGTAGTGGTGTGCACTAAAATTTAGAGCGGTGCAAAGTGCGGTTTGAGAATGAGGAACTCTGGTTATTCTCTAGACACCATGGTGAGTTTAAATGCAGTTAGAACTCATTGTGGACTGACCATCCCGGTAATTTTTGCCGTTCTGCATTTTTGTTTTTTTGTGCCTGAAGGCCCTGAACATTAATTGCTCTTTCCGGAATCCACCACCACCCTCCTCTTTTTTCCCTCTGTGTCTCTGTCCTCCAGGCAAGACCTGGTGCAGGCCCAACTCTCTCTCTCTCTCTAGCTGCAAAGTCTTTGTTGTTTCTCTCTCTAAAGTTGGCAGCTATGTGCGATCGTACATCCAGTCCTACCTCTCTCAATAAATCTCTCCTTCCCCTCTGCAAAGCCCCTCTCTCTCTAAACCTTCTCTGTCTCTCTTCTCGGAAGCAATGGAGGATTCACTTTTACGGAGCCCTTGTCATCGTGAAGAAGAGCAGTCCAAAAAGCATGGCTGGTGTGCCTGTCTATCCCTGGACCGTCGTGAAGCTAAGTTGCAGGCTTCCATTGCGGTGCCTATGATCTTCACGAACCTGTGTGTCTACTCCATGACCCTCGTTCCTGTCATGTTTGCTGGCCATCTCGGTGATCTCGAGCTTGCAGGCTCCACTCTCGCCAATTCTTGGGCCTTTGTCTCTGGTTTTGCTCTTTTGGTCAGTCTTCTGCTTTTATTATTTATTCTTCAAAAGATATTGCAGCGGTTCCTGCCCGTGAGGATTGTCTTGCAAATTTTGATATCGACTAAGTTAATGACCACAAATTTTCAGCATGCTTTTGTTCCGATTCATTGGTTTAAAGAATCTGAATAATTAAATTGAAGTTGCGGAACAAAGCCTACAACCCTGAAAAGTTAAATCATACTTTAATTTCCTTGCTACTAGATTTCTGATCATGGAATTCTGGCGTTCAAATCGCCAAAGTCTTGTCAATATTGACACCCGGTGTTAACTTATCATTATTGCGGTTGCACACCTATAAATTTCAATCCAACAATGGATGGTGATTGTTTTGAATTGAGATATTCTGCTTGAACATCAGACCATAAGCTCTTGCACATTATTTCAGTGAAGTCAAGGCTATCTGTGCAGCGTGCTTATTTTCTGGAAATTCTTAGCTGAAAATTTGCTTTAATTTAGGCATTAAGGTAAATTGTTGACTTTCTCCCAAGTATTGCTAGGACCTTGTTTTGTTGCAGGCGTGAATGTTTCGCCATCCTAAAATCAATGAGGAAGGTTCAACATCTTGTTGTTCAAGTTTTAAATCTTCGTATTCCTTGAGAATGGTAGGCTTTGAAATCATCTCTTGATACCATACGCAACACCTTTAGGTGTTTATGCATTATAAATCTATGTTATGCGAAAACCGAAGAGAGTCTGATACATATTAAAATTCCATTCTCCCAAAGACTGGAGCCATAATGGGTCCTGAGATCTGCACTTCAATGGGCAATTGGTGCTTCTAGATGGCTTGGTGAGTATGTGATGCATACAAGAATAATAATAGAGAAGATTCAAACAAAACCCTTGAAAATTTGATTCAAATAGAGAAGTTTGAAGCTTACACACTATGCTTCTAGTGTCTTCTGGTTCAAACCCAGAAATACCCGATAAAATATCCAAAACTCTGACGTCGAAATCCTATACGAACCCCTTTTTGTATGCTAAACCCCTATCCTAGTCTCCTTTAATTCTATTTTTAATTAAAATAATCTCGTAATGAAAATTGAACTCAAATGATGTTTTACCCTTAATCAAAGAGGATTCCAAACCAAAATAGAATTCCTAATCACAATCTAACAACCTTGTGCCGGGGAAAATCTATTCTACCCTTAAAACAAATACTGCAACTTCTGGATACTAAGATTCATTTATGATTTGAGTGCTAAAGTAAGGGGTTTAAACTTTCAATAGTAATAACTTGCATATCTCCTTTCAATCATCAGAGCCTAGCTGTTTTGTAAACTGTGGAAGAATCGTTCGGTCATTCTAAATGATTTCCTAGTTACATCTTGAGCATTCTCATAGTGGAAATCTTCCAAAAAGCACCTCAATCATATAAAGAAAAGGCAAAACCTTGTGATAGTTTATTTCACTTTTTTTCTACAGTCAAATCCCAATGTTGTTCTTTCCTGTTGTATATTGGTGAATACATCTATTATGTGGATGCAGATGGGTCTGAGTGGTGCACTAGAGACACTTTGTGGGCAAGGATATGGAGCGAAAACATACAGAATGTTAGGAATCTACTTGCAGTCCTCAATTATATCAACTTTTTTCGTTTGCATGATCGTGTCAGTTTTATGGTTCTATGCTGAGCCAATCCTCATATTGCTTCATCAAGATGCTGCAGTTTCAAGAATGGCATCCCTGTATTTGAGGTGGCTGATTCCAGGAATATATGCTTATGCTTTCCTGCAATGTTTCACAAGGTTTCTTCAGACACAAAGTATTGTGCTTCCTTTGGTCTTGTGCTCCATTATCCCATTGGCTATTGAAGTAGCTATGTCGTATTTCTTGGTGTATAAAACTTCTTTGGGCTTCAAAGGAGCTGCTGTGGCTACCTCAGTGTCTTTCTGGCTTAGTTTTCTGTTGTTAGTTCTGTATGTTAATATGACAGAGACATTCCAAGACACCTGGCAAGGGATCTCCATGGAATCATTGCATTATATCTTTCCTTTTCTGAAGTTAGCCATCTCATCAGCTGTCATGGTATGGTAAGAATCTAATTTTAGTCTTTCACCTCTGGAATGTTCTATGAAATCTTTTGGTTGTCTAATAATGAGTATATATCTTCAAGAACCTAGTTTTCTGAAACACCTATCACAATATAATCATGTCTTAACATGGAAATCCTCTTAATATTTTCATATTTAACAGTCCCCATTCTATTATATTATTTGGGTTTCTTCATAAAATCCTCTATCAATGTGATATCCTTGAAATCAACCATGAAAGAAATTGAGTTACTAAAAATAAAAAAAACCATGAAGAGCAAGGAGTACAAATAACGGGTTCTTATATCTCAATTATCTTTTTTGAATCCTTTAGTAGGACAACTGTGTTTTCCAGAGATGTGAGTAGTTGGTTCTTCTCATTCCTTTGATCTTTGTTGGTTCAATTCATTGTTTTTTCAGCATTGTTTACACTTGAAAGCTCGAAGGGAATGGTGCTTCGATCGTTCCACCAAGATTTTCAAACCTAAACTAAGTCGATCAGAGGTAGAGACAGTGTTGTGTTGAATTATGATCCACAAAAGAGTCTAGCAAGAGACAAACCTCTCATGGACCATCGGCTGCACCAGCTTATGAGGCGATTAAAATAAAAATCTGCCAACAAGAAGATTTTGAAAGATTTGAGAGCAAGAGGGGACGAGATTTAGAGAACTGTTTTATAAAAAGATGGACTAACCTAAGTATGGAATGAAATGGGACAAGATAAAAAAGAAGGGTGAACTTACTTGTAAGCCGGGCCCACAGGCCCGGCACCCAGAGTCAGTGGCCTGATTCAGATCGGGGATTGAAGCTCCGACTTCCTCCACTCTTCAGGATCTGTCAATCGAGACTGAGAGTGTTTCTTTGCTGAGTTTCCTTGTAATTCTTTGATCAGAGGAGGTGAGAATCTAAAGTTTAGGTTGATGACCTAAAGTTTGCCGCTAAGAGTGAGCGTGGTGGAACTAGGATTATTTTAGCTATTTGGAGTTAAAATTATGCATAGGTTAGGTCTATTGGGTCTTGAGGTTGGGTCAGGGTCTGCTGGAACATGAATTACGGTCAGGGTTTCTAGGTAACTAAGGTTTAGGGTTGGGACTTTAGTTCAACAGGGCGTCGTCTAATTAAGCTAGAAGAGGCTTCCTAAACTCGAAGGTGCCCGTACTTATAGGCAAGGGAGCTAGGTAATGTCTCCAAAAAGTGGCGGCCAGATCTGGGCCGTCCGTCATCTGCGAAGTATCTCAACACGCATGTGCTCTATGTAAGTACACATGTGAATTAAGTTATTTTGCACAAGCCAGTGGACCCCAGATTGGGTTTCAGGATGTATTTAGGTGGTAATTGGCTATTAAGGGGAGAATTAATAAAAGCGAAATGGGTCAAAACTTGGTTTCTAGGTAGGTTTAAAGGCTGGTTAGGGCTTGATCAAGGTTTAGGGGTCCTAATTCGGGTTTGAGCTATATTAGAAGGTATTAGGGTACCTTTACGCCTAATTAGGTAAGTTTAGTCCTAATTTGGGAAGTTTAGAGGGTCATAGTTCTAATTAGGAAGGCTTAGGCATTTTGGAAGCTTGTTTTGCGAAGTTTAAGGTTAAGTAGGGGGCTGAGGAGTTTAACTAGTTTAGTTTGTCATTGAATGAAGTGAGTTTTAATGAAGTATGGTGCATGGAGAGGGGATATGGTGTATGAATTAGGTAGGCTAGGGTGTACAGGTATAGCACGGTTCTAGGGTATTTCTAGGCTTGAAAATGAATTTTCAGTAAGATGAATTTTAGGATTTTGGCATGGGATGGTCCTAGAAGGCGTCTTGTTCAAGTTCCTACGATTTCCCGGGTTTCTGGTTGCTTGGAATTCCCTCAGCCAGGAAAGGGCTTTTATAAGCATACTTGAGTTTGTTTTTTTTTCCTTGGTTGAGAAGGATGGGTTCAAGATAGCCGGTTAGCATTGTTCCAAAAAACACTCTGACTAGTGTCGCGATGCCCAAAGAACCCTAGGCCTGGGCGCTTTTGGGCCCTAGTTCTTGGGCACCTGCCCAGCAGTGTCGAACACCCAGTTCTTGGCAGGTACCCTAGCCTTGAGCCCTCTTTTCTGGAAATAAAAAAAGCGCCTAAGGGAAATTTGGGTTTGTTTAAACTTTGGGTTTGTTTTACCCACAAAACAGAGTAAAAGGGGCGTTTAGAGGTATTCTAAACCCCCAAAGTAAAAAACTCAAATCTAAACCTTAGATACACACCCCAATCAATTGATTTTGCAAATTTCTTTGAATAACAAACAATGTGAGGTTTGAAGAAGCACCAAAAGGCTTACCCTTTCTTATTGGAATTTTCTTTTAGGGTGCTAGCTATGCTTTGAAAAGAATTTTGGGGTGAGTTCTAGCTTGATCGACATCAAAAGCATTGAAGAATAGAGATCGCGCGAAAGGTTAGTTTGCAAATTACAAATCAATATTTGAGATACCTTTTTTGTATTTGAGATATCTTCCTCGATGTCTACTAAGAGTGGGGATCCAGGATGGAAGTATTGAGTTGGCATGATAAAAATGACAAAAAAAAATTATGTGTAATTTTCACCGACATTTTTCAAATGTCGGGATACATAGGTTGATGGAACATCTTGCTGATATGGGATGGGATGTTGCCCCATGTCAAAAAGTTCCTGAACTTGTTAAAAAAGGGATTATTGAGTAAATATAAGCCAATAAAAATAAAAATAAAAACTTAACAAAGGAGAAGGATATAGCAGAAATTGAGGGTGAGGGTTTAGTATTTTTTTTTTATGATGATGATGAGGATGATGAAGGGGAAGAGGAGGTGGGCTATGTGGCAATTTGATGGAGGGAAAAATTCTTCTTATTTTGTATTTTTATTCAATTTCAATGATACATGCTGTAGTTTTAACTTTAGGGTTTATTTCTAGGGTTTTTATTTAGTATTCATAAGTGCTATTCATGGTATTGCTCATAGTTACTGTTCACTTGTTACTATTCATGCGTTATTGTTCACGCGCTGTTCATGTGTTACTCTTCACGCATTATTGTTTACAGGGGTATTTTTGGAATTTTGATATTGTTTTAGGGGTATTTTAAAGTATTAATGTTTGCTTGGATCTCAAGTTAAATTAGGGTTTCATAGGCTTATAAGAGGTTGGATGTCATAGTTTGAGGGCATATGTTATTGGAATAAATTTTATTTCATGAAAGAAGAAAGTTCTTCTCTTGGCTTGATTTACAACCATATTTTTTCTCTATTTTTGTTAATTTTACTTGTTTAAGGTTCAAGAGAACTGTGGATTCAATTTCCCACATTTCCTTCCTGCATCAAGTGGTATTAGAGCATGGTTCGAGGACAGCTCGAGATTGTGATAGCTTGTCGTGGAGGTCTTAGTTGTAGGGATGCCGATCTGATTCGACTGCACAAGGAAATCAACAACTTGACAAAGAAGGTTACAGAGCTATTACTAAGCGGTTCCAGCAACAACTTGCCTTAAAGGAAGAGGAATCTACAGGGATAGATCCAAATCGTGAGGTTTTTTATGGAGAATGGCACGAATCAGAGTCCGATGCAGAGTTGGAGTGGAATGATGAAGTTGCCTTCAACTACCTGTTCTATGCACGCGCTTTGCGTTCGGAGCCTCATGTTCTGGAGAATAAATCATGGGATTTAGTTGATCTACATGATTTGAAGGAAAACAAGGTTGATCTTGGTGTAGGTCGTATCAAAAGTCAGAAGGTTGTGGCTTGGGATCTGCCACCAATTTTCGATACATACTTAGATGATGAACAAGATTTTGATAGAGATCTGATCTCTGATGGTGATCAAGATTTCATAGGTGAACTAATCTTTGATGAAGAAAAGAATAAAGATCTTAAGGATATCAAAGAGGTGGAATGTTTTGGAGATTTAGGGCATCGAAATCAGAGTAGAGCAATGGAAGTGCGGTAGACTCAAAATCTGCAAATTGTGGCCCTGGTTACGGAGAACAATGAAGTAGATATGGAGGAATCCTTTAGAGGACAAAATTGAATTTGAAGTTTCTCATACAATTTTCTATGGGAGTTTAAGGATATCCATATTTGATAAATTTGTATTGAATATGCATATCAAGATTCGTTTCTTGAGGATTTTTTTTACCTCTAATAATATTTGAGTCGACAAAGCAAAAGAAGGTTGAAGAAGGTGGTTTTGATGTTGAGTTCATCTTAACACACTTCAAAAGTCGATGACAAGTTTTCTCCAATAAGGGGAGAATGATGGAGGGAAAAATTCTTCTTATTTTGTATTTTTATTCTATTTCATTGATATATATTGTAGTTTTAATTTTAGAGTTTATTTCTAGGGTTTTTATTTTTTTTATTTACTATTCACAAGTACTATTCATGGTATTGTTCATAGTTACTGTCAAGGTTTTAAAAAACGCCAGGCGGCCGGCCTCACCCAAAGTGGGCACCCAAAACCTTAGGCGCCTTGTTGTAAAAGTTATATAGATATGTAGTATACATACATATATTTGTGTCAATTTTATAATTTATTACATTTGAAAATATTGTAACATTTTTTTATGTACAAAATATGACATATCGCATGTTGAGAATAAATTTGTTCAAATTTTCAAAATTCAAACCATACAAAATTTAAAAGTCTAATAGGATATGTATTAGTAATAGTTTCCAACTCTCCATATTTCATAATAAGTGAAAAGGTTTAGGAAGGTTCTTCAAACCACAAAAAGTACTTTTGATTCTCGGAAACAGGTATAGTTAAGGGATTGAGGGTTTATGGAATTTTTCTTTTGACTTTGGGGGATGAAAATAGCCCCCCATAACCTATTTAAACCTCAAAATTACCCTATTTTCCCTTTTGGGTATTTTTTTTTAAAAAAAAAAGCCACGTCCACCTGCCTAGGCACCTGCCCACCCCGCCTGAGTGCCCGCCTAGGCGCGCGCCCAGGTACATCCGCCCGCGTAGGGCTGCCTGGGTCTGGACGTGCGGTATTTTGGTTCAGGCCGCT